CATTTCCCCGATTTTTATTACCACCACCCTCTAGAAAAAATCTTTCCAGACTAAACCCCCAGTTCCCAAATTCCTCCAGCCACAACAGTGTGAATTCCTCAGGGAGGTGCCAGTCTCATCCTCTTGATCATCCCACTCAGTTCTGACGAGCTAAGAAAATGTTTGTCTCCCTGAGCTCGGCCTTCATAATTCCATTCCATCACAATGCCTAACTGCTTGCAGTAGACCATGTTGTGATGTTCCAGATGTGGTCCAGGTTGGCATACTAGGGAAAACTGGAAAAGCTGCTCCAGGCCATCCACAATACCTACGCTCTTAATGATAGCCATGAATTCAGGATCATATCCCTGCTCCAACTGTAACTTTTCCAGGACAATGCAATCTATTCAAGGACTAGCTTGAGATTTTTATTTAGATCTCTTTATGAACCCTTAGTACCTCCATGTTACCTTTACTAAGGCTTCTTTTCTCACCTCTGAGAATTGATTCCAAGCCCTAGGGAACCTTTCCTAGGCAGCTTGTTATTTAAAATAGTGACTTAAGCTATAGACAATAGGAACTCTCAAGCCAGGTTCAAAAACTGGACCACAGCCTTCTAATTCCTCTTTTCACATAGCTACACAATTGTTAAGGTCCCAACTCAGATATCCCAGGTTTGGCAAAGGATGCCTGTTCCATCCCAGAGGTTAATTAAAAAGAAGTACAGGTAGTCTGAGAGATGTGTAGGGATTACAAATTTTGAGGAAACCAAATGAAAGATTTTCTGGACTGAGTGGAACTTTACTAGTAGTCCTCAGTTAATGATCATTCATTCAGCAACTATTCAAAGTTATGATGGCATTGAACGAGTAGTACTTACAACCGGCCCTCAAAGTTCTGGCTGTCCCAGCACCCCCACAATCATGTGATCGCGATCTGGGTGCTTGGCAACTGGCCCGCATTTACAACGGTTGCAGCATCTCATGGTCACATGCTCACCATTTGCAACCTTTCCTGTTGGCTTCCCACAAGCAAAGTCAATGTGGAAGATGGCATGGAAGGTTGCAAGTTGCTCTGCTAAGCCTCCCCCACCTGGCAGCAGCCACCCCTGGCCCCATCACACTCATGCCACATCAGCCACCCGCACACCCTCACATGTCCTACCCCACCAGGCAGCTGCCACCCTCAACCCCATTGTGCTCTCATAGCACCAAACTTGCCACCTGCACACCCTCATGTGCCCTCCTACACCTGGCAGCGGCCACTTACCTGCCTGCCAGCCTGCTTGCAAGCCACCTGGGACTTGCAACTTCCTGCTGGCTTCCCCACTGACTTTGGTTGTTGGAAGTTGGCAGGGTTGTGCGGAATTCCTCACTTAACAACCTGCAATCCTCCCTTAACAACAGCAGCAGAGACTGCCAGGATTGCTATTGTTAAGCAATGCAGTCCTGTGAGATTGCACTTTATGACTGCATTCTTAGGGACGGTAATTCTGGTCCCAATTACTGTTGCTAACCAAGGACTGCCTGTATTTCTTTACGTGTTCCATAGCTACATTTCTTGGTGAAGATTAAGCCATTATCTATGTTAGATAACACCTTCAGCAGAACCCAGATAGATATCTTGGTGAAGATTAAGCCATTATCTATGTTAGATAACACCTTCAGCAGAACCCAGAGGAATCCAGAAATATTAACTCTATACTATTCCAAGTCACTACCCATCAGTTTGAGGAATTTTGACTCATAGGAATTAATGACATACCTGCCCCAACTGAAGCCTGGTTCCAATGGATCAGATTCTGATAGATGGTCTCCAGCAAAGCTGACTATCTGAATCCGGTAGCCTTTTTCATGGCCCCACTTATTGTCACTGTTATTGGCAGCAAAATAAATGTATCTGGGCATGTTATCACGGAGGCGGAATGCAGCTTTGTTCTCGGTATCCAAAACCTTCCTCACCATCTTCATTCGATGGATTTTATGTTCTGGGCTCCAAGGGGCCTGCATTGTCTCAAAAGCCATGTCATTGCCAACCAGGGTATTTTTCACACCTCAGAAGGAAAGCAAATATACTCATTAATTCTTGACTAACAGTACAGATCAGACTGCTCCTGTTGCATTTTTCAGCTTCTTAAAGTTGTCTGCAGAGTGACACAGAGATGGAATTATAACAAAGATTATATACTGTACACAGTTGGATTTTCAAAATGAATATGAACAAATTTAAAGTCATTATGGGAAACTGCAGATGCTAATTAGAAGCTGCACAGACATTAAATAACAGGTTCTCAAAATACCATAAAAATAAAAGATTAATAAAAGTGAAGTTAGAAGTTTCGCATAATTTAATTACCAGTTTATTTCAGATATGTAGGAGGAGAGCCATGTTAGTCTATGGTAATAAAAAATCAGAAGGAGACTAAGAATTTCTGTTTAAAAGGTTCAAGCTTTTGTAAGCTGCAGATCACTTTATCAGATTTGGCTAGACTGATGGAAGATTTAAATTGGGATGAGGTAGTGGGGGGAAAGTTGGGGAAGACAGATGAGTTATGCAATTTTAGATTATACATGAGACAGATTATAAGTACCTTATCAGTTAACAACTACAATGTGTTAAAATACTTACAAAGTTCAGAATAGGACAAGTAATTGTATTCCCTGTGGCACTCTAGGGAAGTGAAAGGTGAAGAAGCAGGATAGGAAGAGTATTAATGCTTTTGAACTTTGGTGTTGGAGAAAACTGAGAATACCATGGATAGCGAAGAAAACAAATGGATGGATTTTTGAGCAACCCAGAGTTCTCACTCAAAGTACCAACAACCAGGCTCGAATTATCCTACTTTGGACACATTATGCAAAGATCTAACTCTCTGGAGAAGGTTTTAATGCTGGCAAAGATAGAAGGAAAGAGAAGAGGATGACCAGCAGCAAGGTGGATGGACTGCAGCTGCACTATTGGAAGACCTGAAAGACCAGACGAAGGACAGATTGTCATGGAGAAAATCTATCTGTGTGATCGCTAAAAGTCAACAATGACTTGATGGCACATAATCAATCAATGTGTCAGAGTCGTGTATTTGAGATGGGCAGCCATATAAATTTATTAAATAAATAAGTCAATAAATAAATCCTCATTGTGTTTGTTGAGACCTTCTGAGATTGCCTGAAACATTTTAATGTATGTGAGTACAGTAATCTCTTGCTCAATGGTGCTATTAGTTTCATTTTTCCAAAACTGTCACTTTTAAGTCTACCGTTGAGTGTTCCAAGAGGTTGAAATGCTCTGATATTACTTTGTCCTTGTTTTGAGTCTTGATGTCATGTCCATTAATTATTTTGTGCAAAGTTTGTCCTATTTGTCCTATGTAGAATCCAGAGAGACATTTCTGGTAGATGATGGCATTTATTGCATTGGAGGAAGTGTATGTGAAAGCACTGTTAACCTTGTTAATCCTAAATGCTTATACGTTTTAATAAAATGTGTTAATCAGAAGAAGTGCTATCAGAGTCCTGAATTTTTGCCATCTAATTTCAGGTAACTGTTTATTAGAGAAAAGTATTCATGGAAATTCTGTGCTCTTTATTACTTTATTATTACTCCATGGATATAACATTTTAGATGAAAGAAGATTCAAAGAGCTCTAGACTGTCTCAAGCAGTAGGAAGAAGTGAATAGGATGAAATTTAACAGAGAAAATGTAAAGTTCTGCATCTAGGTAGGACAATTGTATGATACAATTGTAGGATGGAGAAGATCAGGCTTGGCATTAGTACAAGTGAAAGGGATCTGGGAGTCCTTGCCAACCACAAGTTAGCCATGAGCCAGCACTGTGATGCAGATGTTACAAAGGGAAATGCTATCTTGAAATGCATGAACAGGAGCATAGGCTCCATAACATGGGAAGTAATTGTTCAACTCTGCTTTGATCAGACACTACCAGTTTGTGCCACCATGATTCAAAAAAGAGAGTAACAAATTGGAGTGACAAATTCAGAGGAAGATTACTAAGACAGTGAAAGATCTGGAAATTAAGCCCTATGAGGAACAGTTAAAATATCTGGGTATGTTTAGTCTACAGAAAAGACAACTAATGGGAGATATATCAGCCTTCAAAAATCTGAAAAGTTGTCACACAAAAGAAGCAGTAGACTTAATATCTATTGCCCCAAAGGTTAAACCAGAATTAGTGAGTTAACATCACAAGGAAGGAGGTTCAGGCTAGACATCAGAAGAAGCTTCGTGACTGTGGAAGAAAACATTTATTGGTTTTCTTGAAATATAAATGCAGAATATTTGCAGGAAAAAAACTGGATTTTTTGCAATTCTGGTATCAGCCACAATAAAGAAGCAGCTTGTAACACAAGCTCAAATCAACCATGCTTGTGTTAGAGTGGCAGGGCTGTATATGAAAAGGAATAAAAGTTGTTTCCATATAGTTCTTCAAATAAACTAACCAAAAAGTGAGAGGATAGTATCTCCTTGGAGCAAGGACCTAAAAGCCAAACAGGCTCAAAGTTTAATAGATGCCAGCCAGAATGTACATTCTTCTTTCCCTTCTTAGGGGCAGTAGAAGCAATTATTCTGGATTCTATGTATAGTTTAATACTTAAATTACCATCTAGGCAGATTCTTTTCATTCAAGGAAATAAAGTTAATTAATTAAAACATAACCCCCAGAGAGACAGAAAAATACATGGAACATTCTGCCTCACTAGCTCTCCAAGTCTTAAAAGAGGGCTAGATACAGAGAGTGTTGTCAATTCAAAGTAAAGCATTAGACTTTTGTCACATCCTTAAAATCAAAACTACATCCATCCAGAATAAGGGATGCAAACACTTCCAAAGAACAACTGTACAGTAAGTCATGTCAGGCATAGAAGTCCCTGGAGTTCTTAAAATGTCACAAATGAGGTTGCTACTCACCATGAATGTCCATATCCACTTTGAATTGAATATTGTGGGTGTGAATTGTTCCCAACACCCACTCTTGGACTCTGTTGCCAAAGTCTGTGGCATCACCAAAGTAAAAAGAAGTTTGAATATATCCACTGGCAAGAACATGGACACCAACAGCTCCATTTTGATGAAAAGCGAAGTTCCAGATATAGTTATAATTACTAAGTACAGATATGAATCTGATAACCAGACTTGAGTCTTCCAACCCTCCATAAAATGGAGACTGGATGCTTTCATAATGACGTCTCAGAGGCAACTCGGCATTCTGTTCAAAGATGCAAATGGCCTTTTTACGTCTAGTAGGGAATGAAGTATCAAGAAAAGTATACACATCCAAGTAAGTAGCTAAATAGGGACAATCTACCCCCTGTGTGAGTGTGTACATTCTAGACCCAAATCCAAAGCTCATGTCCATGGATCTGGCTGACATCATTGTAGGACTATTGGAGCCATAGAGAACACTTGCATCTTGTAAGCTTAACTCATAGATTATCCTCTCTCCTCTAAATCTGACATCAAATAAACGTGGCCCCCTGTTTATATCAATTCCAAAAGCCAAACTCCAGCCCATGAAGGTAACATGGTTATTCTGAATTCTATAGCGTGGTCCACGAGGTTCATAATGCAAAGGGCCTGGAGCTTTTGGTGGTACCCTTTTTTTTAGCGATGAGTATCCCCCATTAAGAGGGGCTTGTTTAATCTTGTTTATTTTAACATTTCCCATATTGAATTGCTTTTCGATATCTTTCATGCCTTCAAAATATTGTCCATTATAAAATGCTTTTGACACCGTCCACTGAGAACGATCCAGGCTGCTAAAATTCATTTGAATCTCAAATCCAGTTGGATGCAGATGGCTGCCAGAAACTAACTGTAAGTGATTCAGCCAGACTGCACGATCTCCTGATTTTAGCCCTGGTGGAAATGCAAAACTGAACATGAAAAGTTTTCCTGGATAATCAAGCACCTTTCTCATGAAATTTGGAGCCTTGGGATATTCCTTCAACAGCAATGCTTTATATAATACAATGACATCACTTGTCAAAGGAAACCTTTGGGAGTAAGGCAACATCCTTCCATACTTCTGCAGTGTAATGTCTTTATGATACTTTGGCTTTGGAAGAGGACCTACTACAAACTCAGTGACATTCGGGTGTGGCTGATTTCCAAAATGGACCACAGCCAAAGCTTCCCGTACAGGTTTGGTCCCTTGATGGTCTAGGAATTGTAATACTTCTGCTTTGGGAGGAAGCTGCAAGGTGATGGAATAGATGCAGTTGTCTGATGGTCTGGCTAGAAGTGTCTCTATCAGTAGCACTCCCAGGTTGAATTGTAAATATGTCTTTACTTGCATTATCTCTCTTGGAGTTAAATCTTGAAATATCTGGCTGCCAGCATCCTGACCACCTTCCTCTTCCCCCATTTTCTCAGAAGATCTCCCACAATCCATGGGTTTTTTCCCTCTAGTTTCGAAAACCAAGACTAAGATGACAATGATGGTGATGCATATTGCTAGGAGAGAATAAATCAGTTTCGGATTCATTTTCCCAAACCTATAGACAGACACATAGAGAAAAGAGTTTGTTAAATCCTAAAATTATATGGACACAAATATTAAAAACACTTGTTGAGCATGTAAGTTCCAAAAGTATAAATTCCTTGCAGTTACAAAACACTTCAGGAATTGTGCAAAGATAGCAATGATATGTTCACATCGTCAATAATCTTACCATCGAGTCAGGATACTTCTTTTTTCATTAGCTAAAAGTGGGAAGTCAGAAGAAGGCAATGGCTCAAGACTTCTAAACTGACTAGGAGTTGAGCTCAATTCAAATGAGATTTTAGCTTTTTTAAAAGGAGGTTTGCAACCTCTTAAAATGCACTCCTTAATCTTCTGGTTGCATCAGGAAATTATACATTTGTTAAAAGGGAGGAGACCTATTATGCAAATGTGTCTTGAAACTATAATCTTATGTTTTGAGGAAATGCAACCTTTAATAATTTTTCAAGTTGTCAGCATTCAACATATATACATTTCTCCCAAATGAAGTATGGTTGGCCTAGATGCTACCTTCTTTATACAACAGGTAAATGTATGTCTCTTAATCCAAGTATTTAAAGGATCACATAAGTTCCAGAACCGCCTCTCACTTTGTTTGCCTCTTACCATTTTTTTTAATGCACCTGGTTTTTGAGGACTGTTTTCTTGTTGGTATTTAATCTATTGTTAAAATTATTTTTAATAGTGGAGTACAAACAACTAAAACACCAATAGGAAAAAAAATGGCATTGGTTATGCAATGAGAAAAGAACTTACCTCGTTGCTGGTGATTAAAATAAACTAAACAGGGGGGAAAACTAAAGAAAAAGAAAAAAATACATATAATATCTATCTATATTAATATAGAATTAATTCAATCCTTAAATTTATCATTAAATCTAAACCATATGGAAACATATTGCATTATCTTACTACAGTCTAAATAATAAATAATGCATTCGACTAATACTATAAATTATACAATAAGTTAAAATATGAGCTCTAGAAATGAAATTTTGCGTATAGCACAATTTCATGTATGGGATTGTAATCCAAGAATGGTTTACAATTTGAATTAAGTTCTGTGGCAGATTTACTTTTTAAAATCAAAGTTATTTTAGACATCAAGACATACTCCCACAATTCAGTTAGTTATTCTTCCAAAGAGGGAATTAAAGGTATTTTCCTATGAAAGGTATATAAACGCCTTGCATCCATTAACATATACAGTGCCAATTCAGTATATTTTGAAGAGATGTATGGTTTGGTAACGTTTAATGAAACATCCCAGGATGCACTGAGTTTGCAATTTTCAAAATGTGTTCTATTCTACAGTGAACCATTTTCCAATATTGTTGGGCTATATAAAAGGAAGGATCCAATCTGCATATAAAAGGAAGGATCCAATCTTCTCACTGCATTTCAAAGGTTTTTTAGGAGAAAAATTATTCATTTTAGCAATCAAGGCTAGAGTGATATACCAATGATAAAACATATCATACCAATTCTCATTGAGCATAATGTTCAAAGTAAATTTAATATTTTTTCCACTGAAATTCCCACAGTTGCATCTCTATAACTATATTCATATTCTGCACCCATTCAACTGTACAGTCTTTAACTTCTGAGTCTGAGAAGGATTCTGAGTCATACTTCACTAATAATTTATAAATTATGCCTAGCAAATGGTCAGTAGTACATGCTATAAAATTGTCAAATTCAATCAAATATCTCAATACTCCCCTTTGTTTCAGCAATTCTTTTACTGTCAAATGGCTTATCTGAAGATACTGAAACAAATCAAATTAGAAGAGCACTGAGACATGAGGGATTTTATTTTTGTCCTGCTATCAATGATATCTTGTAATCTGAACAAATTATGTCTGTTCTAAACAAATTTCTTGGATCCTTCACCTTTATAAAAATAAACATTTAATGTAGCAAGAAGGGAAAAGCCCAAGAGTTATTATTTTCCTGTATTTATCCCAAACATTCAGTATGTTACTGAGTACTGTATGATCTCTTATAGGGTGTTTATTTCTATTTATGTCAGTCCAGATATATCTGTACAGTCCCCCTGTACATAAGGGACAGAACCATAAGAAGATATCATCCATTATGAAATCCATGTTAAACTTCTAGCATAACAATACAGTCTAAAATTTGGAGTCATGAAGCCACCTCTTGAGTGCTGCAAATTTTTGAATTTCATCCCTGGCTTTCTGTTGGACCACAGACAATTGGGCCAAACATCTAAGACCTCATTCTCTATAAATACTAGACACATTTGAAAAAGAAAGCTTAATTTTAGGATACTCATTTTGACAGCTGCAAACCTCCATAACCAAGACAGATTTAACCTTTTCCAACTAGAAATGTGTGTTGATACATTTTTCCAAGTTGGTAAATAATTATTCTTAAACAAAACTTTATTATTTTTTGTCAAAAATCCTAAATATTTAACCATCTTCTTGGAAATGTTAAAAGCTGTTGCTTGAGAGAGACATTGCTTTTCATCCTCTGTCAATTTCATATCAACATTTGACTTTTTTCTTTATTAATTTGGTGACCAAGACTAAATAGTATTGCTGTATATATAGCATCAACAATAATAAAGGTTCTCTGGACTGAGTAATTTTTTTGAACATAAAGACTTTTCAAAAATAGATGATGGATTCATATCTCAAATCTATTCCTTAGTATCTGGCTGCTAAATGTCTTCTTTTTGCTGAGCCTTTGATAGAGCTTGATAGAGCTAAAATGACAAATTCCATATTTAAGGAATATAGTTTAATATCACATTTCTTTCCAAAGTTGTATTAATATATGCTAAGATTTGACACCTAAACCAAACTGTGGCTGAGCAAGACAAAATCATATGAGTGAAAAAACTGTTAAACTGCTTTACAGAATCATAGACTCATTGGGTTGGAAGGTACCTGGGAGTAACCTTCTAGTCCAACACCCTGCCCAGACAAATGACTGTCCAACCTTGGTTTGAAAACCTGCAGTGATGCAGCACTTACGATTCCAGGAGGCAGGCTGGTCCTCTCCTTAATAGCTCTCACCTGGATGAAATTCTTCCTCATTTTGAGTTTGGATCACTCTCTATAAAGCTTCTACCCATTGTCTTCAGGATAATAACCCACATCCTCCTTTCTGTAACAGTCCCTCAAATATTGGAAGACTGCTATCACACCACCCGTTAGCCTTCTCTTCTTTAGATTAAAAATGGGACACAATCTGGACGTACTCCTGGACTCTTGGCTCCTGCTCAATGAGCAGGTAGCAGCTGTGCTCAGGGGGGCCTTTGCACATCTTGTGTACCAATTGCACCCATTCCTGGATGAGGAGGCCTTGCTCATGGTACCTCATAACTTAGCACCTTCTGTTTGGATTATTGTAATGCAGGTAGTTTTTGGTGTTGTAACACCACTGCTCCACAAGCTGCCCTGGCTCCTGGAAGGCTTCTGGGCATAATTCAAGGTGCTGGTGATCACCTATAAAGACCTCGATGGCATTGGGCCAGGCCACTTATGGGACCGCCTTTCTCCTATTGTTTTTGCCCACTCCACCAGACCTAGAAGAGAGGGCATGCTCCAGGTCCTTTCTATTAAAAAATGTCATCTTGTGGGTCTCCAGAGTCAGGCCTTCTTAGCGGTGGCACTGCCTCTTCTAAACTTTGGGGAAATAATTAAGTTCAGCTGGAAATGAAACTACTAGTACAGTACTGATTCTTAGTTTTTTAAAAAATGAAATAGTTCATCATGCACAAGCAGGAGAGGTAATAATGACTCAAAATTGGAAGCAAGACAGATTTTCTGTCATGTACAATTCAACAAGGAAAAATAGAAAATCATCTATGTATGCAGAAAAATAAATGGATAATGACAGTTTACAAGCAAAGTTGTGGAAGCATTCTATTCATTAAAACAAGTTTTCTGAGTGATTTGATGGTGAGATCAAAAGCTTAGATATTTCATTGACTATGCTTGCAGAACATGCTAAACCAGAGACAACAGCTTTTGGGGCTGGTAATCACCTCTGGAATTTTGAGAACATGCTTAAGAGGCAAAATAGCTGTTGAAGAAGAATAATCCATTCATAAAACGGTGTAAAGTCTGCCGTGTAAGACTTTGCTAGTCGCCAATAAATGGTCTTTCCTACCTCTCCTGCTTACCTCTTCCCTTTCTTTAGCACAGGTGCCTTAAATTACAAAGCCTGTGGGATAGCTTGGGATAGCACCCACAGAAAACACAAGGGATCATCACACGGCTCCACAAATTCAGGGGATTCAGGAAGGATGTGTGGGGCTCCATAGCTGGCTGTAGCCACACACCCAGTGAAGGACCCCACTGGAAGAACCTCAGAACCCCTCCTTCTCTCCTAACAAATATCCACTGGTTCTAGATGAGAAGAACTTCTCAACACATTCATCTTTATGTCATTTAAGGCCTGTTCTATACTCATTTATTCATAAATGCCCACTA